ATCGTTCTAATTGTAATTCTTGTTGTAATTTCTTACAACATGAGTAATTCTAAACGTATTTATATAATTATATGGAAGGAAGGTCGTTCAGCGAGCTATGGAGCGCATTATGCTCTGCGTTTTGGAGTTCGCAACGCAGATATTCATGAACCACCACTAGATGGAGTGACGATCTGTGCAAATGTTTGGAAAGTCGATGGAAGACCACCTGCATAGTGGCTCAGGATCGTGCTTCGTGACGGTCTGTGGCGGAAGCCTATGTCCAGTGAACTAAAGCGGGCTGAAATGATGATTCATATAATATAAAAGGAATGTAAAGGCGATTACCCACGCGGGACGAAAATAAGTACTTTCGTAATCTTTTAATAGTATTTCAGGGTCTATTTAAAAATTTTGTCCATAATTTTTATATTCTGGAAAACTCTCCCGACACAAGAACTAAACACTCTCCTAGAATTAAATGTTCTATTTTATACAAGAGTTTCCGCTCACAAAGAGACCACGCATCAAGCACCTGATCGCCTAAAGCGCGAAACAAATGATACAAAACAGATGCATTTCAGTATTCTCGCCCGTCGCAAATAATGCAATTCAGAAAGGCGATGAATGAATCATACTAGAGGAGGCTTCTTTTTTCATGTTTTATGGTAATGAACTTCTGTCATAAAATTTTATAGGGTAATCTGAAAGAAAGCTTGACTTGATGACATGCCCTCTTTTAAGAATGGAGAATGGAGAATGGAGAATGAAAGAATATTTTTCATTTAAGAACAAGCGTGTGTAGTAATGACTTGCAAGCATCATACCGCCAGCACCACCTCAATGATTGTGGCCGCAGAAAGTTTTCCCATTAACTGATACACTGCGATGGAGTTCATTTCAAAACGGAAAAGTTTATCCTCAAGTTCTTCGTCATGCTAATTAGTTTTCTATTTGACGCAATAGTAGGTTTTTGTTTAATTACTTGTAACCAGCGGTCGCCCAGTGGTCATAATTCGTACATTATTTAATTATTGTGATGATTTTTTTTTATTCATTTAATGTATTTTTATGCATATTTTTCAAAAAAATTAGCATTCGGCACTCTGTATATAATATAGGTGTGCGAAATTTCGTACATCTCCGTCCGCGCAAACATTCGTAAAAAGGGGGACAAAGTTTTTGCTTCACCTATTAACATATAGAAAATAATTTTCCGAATTTGTTTTATCTTCTTCTATGATTACAGTTCATATTTTTATCAAATTACGAACTTTCTGAGATGACTCGAGTAATATTTTAATTATTTCGTTAATGGACTATTAATTATTAGCTTCCAATGTTCGAAATTAATTTATCACAATCCACGACCACTGGCAAGTGTGTGCAATTAAGGCAGTGTTTATAAAAAACGACACTCGTGTTACGCTACCGTTTCTATATACCTACTCAAGCTTATTTGTAAAACTATTTTATATTCAAATTCCGTACATTAAAAAACTTAACAAATAAAACATTATTATTCACAAAAACAAAGCCGACTTCAAGCATCTCACTCACTGTAGATTTTCGATTTGATTTTGGGGAGTTCCCTAATCTGTCAATAGCAATTTAATTAATATTGAACTACATGGGAGCTAAAACGAACCCAATACAAAAATAATTTTTAGAACTCGTTCACAATTTTTTTAGTTCAGAGGCAACATAAATACAAAATGTAATCAATAGCACATACAATTCTTTCTCTCACTAAATTTCCGGCTGAGCTGGCTGGTAGAAAATGCCATATGGCATTTTCTACCAGACACCGTTTGTACAAAAAAGTGTTAAATAAATAAAAATATTTCCTAATCGATCAACCCTCCTTTTTAGAAGTCTGTTTAAAATACAAAATATCCGTTTATTCTATAGTAGAACATCCTAAACTAACCCAATACATATTAAAGTCCGTAACGACAACACTGTCTTCTAACAACAGATACACAATGTGAATTACTAGGAGTGACATTACATTTCCATAACATATGCGTTTAGATGATAGATTCAGTATTTCATGGCATGCGAGTGGCAAATTCCACAAGGTACTTCGAGGACTCGCGTGTCAGTATTATATTTTCTACTCCGTACAGTGAAGCGATAGATTTTCCCGTTATTGATTTGATGTGCAGAACTCTTACTATTTTCTGTCTTCATTGTTAAAAAAAGGGTGTGGGTTTGATTCCAACTACCGGTAAAATGTTGTGCGATGAACATAGTGTTTTTTCCAGTGTCCTGAGTGTTTATATATGTGTAATATGTATCTATTTACAAAAGAGAGGAATGTTTAAGAACGTTTATTAGTTATCTAGTACCCATAGTATAAGTTGCTTATTTATATATATTTCGGACCAGAAAACAGTGTGTAAAATTTAACTTAAAATATATATTATTTATTATTATTATAAGTCGGGAAGTCGATGGATGCAGGTGGCTCAGGATTGTACTTCATGGCAGTCTATGGGGAAGGCCTATGTTCACCAGTGGACTCAAACAGGCTGAAATGATGATGATGATTATTATTATACACTGCGTATTAAATTACGTTACACCATTGTAAGCCACTTGAAATATTGCAATTTAGTGGCTATAAAGTTGTCAATATTTGGCCGCTAGCAAAATTTTATTTGTAAAAATAATGTGTATTCTATTTTCCCATAAGTTCCCATGAGCGGCGAAAATGTATTCATTAAAAACCTCGGGTATAAAGAATAATTGTGAATACCTAATTCACGGCTTAACTTATTGCATTACGCATGTTTATTCGTTTATGATGACCAAATTAAACAGTAGAATCATAACGGTAGATGCGTTCAAAAAGCGCGGAAACGTAAAGGAAGAGATAAGTTAAGGCCACTACAAACACGCGATTCCTGTAAAAGGAACTGTAAACAAGTAACGCTTTCACATTGGATACAGGACTGAAGCCACTGCCTTTGTGAATGTGATCACTTGTAACTGCTGTGAAATGGGTCGCCTATAGGGTTGGCAACACCGGAACATAAACCGCAGTGAAATCTTTAACAATCGTTATTCGTCTTAAAACCCTCGCATTGTATGTCAACGTATTGTAACTAGAAATAGACATTATTGTATAATTATTGATTTTAAAATATCGAAAATTCGTCTCCATTTTCTCACTGCAGTGATTACGGGGAATCCCGAATGAAAGCTGCATGCAGCCCTAACTACAAGGTGAATGAACTGGATGCAGCAAAGCTCGCGTTTACATTAACAGAGGGAGGACTGCTATAGAGCTCTCTTTTAAAGTTACACCACAGAACAGCTGATTAAATTTGTTTTACTGAATAGCTATATTTTAATTGTAATTGGTACCGAAAGTGGTTTTTTAATTGTAAGTAATATTAGATGGATCGTACGTTGTACAATTATATAGTTAGTAAGTTAAAGAAATTTTATTACAAGTGAGACTACAATTCCTTTTATACCAAATGGAAGTATTAAACTTATTGTTCTGCGTTTTTAACTTCTTGTAAATGACAGTTAACTAATCTCTGTACATTCCCAAAAGATATGAAAAACACGAGTTTTGTTATTTGAAAACATGATTTAATCCCAAAAATATCGAGTTATTAATTTAGAAAATAAATACACATGAGTGAAGTGATGGGATACTCGCATCCATACTCATGTTACAAATGAGAAAATACATTTGTTAGCGCTTCTTTCACGTCGCAAGGGATATGATATGATTATGATTTATATATATATATATATATATATATATATATAAGTCATTTTTTTAATAATATTCTAACGTAGTAACGTAGCAAGCCTTATCCCATTCCCTTATTATTTCCCATGCAAAACCTCTTAGAGTTACGGTAATAGAATGTTAACAACAGTTATTACTTCATTAGCGGGCGTTAAAACAACGTGCAAATCGGCACCAAATTAACATTCACTCCGCGTAAAACGTACTAGTCGCCTCTACTCATTTGAATAGTGGACCGTTTGGTCGAATATTATTAATGTTTATGTTCCTGACGTGCTATTAGACAGATTAATAGCTGTTATTCGACAGACGGCTTGTGATGTGATTAATTAATTCGAAATCGCCTCACTGACTACGATTGCCAATTAAACATGTTCGGGGCATGTTGATAAAATTAATTATGCTTAACAGATTTTCTCACAGCATAATTTGACATCAACGGTTGAGACGAAAAATGGGGTTCTATTTTTTTCTTTCCCCATTACAGTTTTGATCTAGCCAACGGTTATATTAGTTTATTAAATATAAAATGATTCTATACGGTGAGATCGGGTTAGACCTATTTTTTATATAATCGTGTTTATGTTGTCTTTTATTGGTGTGATGGTTGAATGTTTTTTTTGTACTCATTTTCCGGGTGCCCGTTTTTAATTCAATATACTCGAGCAACCTGAGTTCGATCCCCGGTGCCGGCACCAATGAAATTGTTAATTTTAAGTTCCAACTTATTCCGTGCTCAGCGGTGGAGGAAATCATCGTGAGGTGTTTTCGATATATTAACAAAAAATTCAAAGACATGTGAAGTTCGACAATTTCCAGTATAAGCTGTTATTTTACTTTACTTTTTCTATCTGTGTTGTTGTATAGCACTAACCTTTGTTCCAAAGACGTTTAAAAACAATTTAACCATAGACAAATTCTCACAGATCAATAATATCGTCTACATTGGGGATACCAGCAAACCCATTACCCCATGAGAATAATTTAACTACTTCGCCAGCAGAGGCAGAGACACTTTGAGACAGGATTACGGTGAAACTCATTTGAAACATCATTGAACAACTGACCGCAAAGACGACTCGGTTTTTCATTTGTTCTCTAACGCGCACCGTCTCATTATCTCCGTTTGATTGCAACTAATTTGCGTTCGACGAATAGAAAACGGCACACCGTGGATCGAGCACTCCGCGTGACCGCACACCATGCAAATGGGATACGCGTTTGTTCTGCAACGGTGCGCTCCGTTTTAGTCGTTATCGCAAACGCATTGGGACTGTAACGGCTTGCGATTTTTGGGGCACGCGTCGTAATTGCGCCGTCGAGTGTAAGAGTTACCTACATCTAATGACGTCGGGAAATCGTCTTAAAATACAGAACGTTACTTGGTCACATTTCTTTATCGTTTAGAATGAGCTGAAAAATTGTATGCAGACAAATGCGCACATCTCATGCAAACTCGGTCGTGTCTACTCTTAATTATTATTGAAATGCAATTCAAGTCGAATTCGATTAATATTTCCTGGATACATTTTAAACTTGGCCATTGGCTCAGGTGTTCGCTTTTATTTCTATATATATTAAATATGTAAGCTAAGCAACCACAGTTCAAATCCCTATGCCGGCGCCAATGAAATTGTTAAATGTAATTTTAAGTGCCGATTATCACGTGCGCATCGGCGAAGGATTAATCGTAAGAACCTGCATATGTTCGAAATAACAATAAAAAATATATCTCGATGGCGCCATTGCTAAGCTACTGGCTTCGGCGTCGAGGGTCGTGGGTTCGATTCCCACACGGGACAGGTATTTGTGTGATCCACAAATAAAATCGTGATCAGGGTGTTTGTTTACCAACGAGGGTTGATGCCAGGCAGGCGAGCCGGTCGTAAAAAACATAGCCAAAACCGCGTACAACATGATTCACATGTTGCGACGACCCCCACAACGGTGGGATAAGAGCATGAGAATTATGAATAATAAAAAATATATATTTTCTAATATATAAAATTCTCGTGTCACGGTGTGTGCAATTGAACTCCTCCGAAACGGCTCGACCGATGTTCGTGAAATTTTGTGTGCATATTGGCCAAGGTGGAGAATCGGACAACATCTATTTTTCATCCCCCTAAATGTTAATGGTGGTCCATCCTAAACAGTTTTTTCTACCCTACAAATTCCCTAGAAATAATTTATATGGCAGAACAATGTTTGCCGGGACAGCTAGTATATGTATATTTCGAAAGAAACATGACATCTGTGTAAAATATTATATGTACCTATTTCTTTAAAAATATGTGAAGTAACCAATTTGCAGTGGGTTCGTTTGGTGAACAATGCCGTAATACTCTTTGTACAGAAGAGGCCATTGGACAGCTGTGGGACTTATGGCTTTTGCTTTACGTTCCTATTTAGGTTTAGGGTATGTTTCAAATGAAATTTTACCATAAACCGAGTAACCATATAACTCAGAGTGAGTTTCGTTATAATAACGTTAATATAATTATAATTTTGTTAATATCGTACAAGAAGATGAAATATTATATAATATAGTACATAATTACGATAAAAGCAATTTCAAATACGAAATGAGAATTTCCAAGAATAAAAACAAATATACAGCAAAACGGGAGTAATACAATTTACAAGAAGATTACGTCAGCACCATTCCCGATGGGATTCTAGTAACGTAAAGCATAATTATTGTACTAGCATAGCTACCTGGAACTATTTGCGTTACTAGAGCCGTTTGCAATAGAGTTCGTTACTAAATACCGATAGGAAAGAAACTATGATAACATTCCTGGTAAAATGCTTGATCGAATTTCACGAACTAACTAACTCCGCTGGCTCTGCGACCCGAAGTGTGTCTTAGCCTGCGATACTAGTTGGCGCCAACGCGCCCTATCTGGTGCGATCTCCTCACAGTTCTCTGCGTTGAGAGCGCGAATTTCCTTCACCACTTCATCCTCCATGTCTATCAGGGCCGCCCAATCGGCCTCCAGGTCGTCCATCATAGGCTCTCTTCACGGCCCTGTCTGCCGGCATCCGTTTCAGGTGCCCAAGCCAACATTTTACTAACTCAGTTTAATTAGTCGTGAGCTAATCGGAATTTATAATTAACGCTAACATAATGCAGCGAAATGGGACGGACCTCTAGGGTCTACCGATGTGAATTTTTTTCCTTTTCTCAAATTCATATATATCGAGAAGTATACACATAGTGAATTGTTATAAATTCCACTTAACAATGATTGACTTCTCACTTTTAAACAGGTTTAATTTTAATTGTAGTGAATAAATCCTATAAGAGTTGTAACGTTTTTACCTTGATTCTATGCTATAACAAGTAGCACTAGTGGTTGTATCACTGTCCGGGAACGCAGCCGAAATCCAAGTGACCGCTGCTACATGCGACCATGTGTCCCTTGGCTCGAGTAGATAACGTCATATCTGGTATACAGTGTTGCCAGCGCCAACAATCAATATAACAAATACCCGTAATAAATGCATAATATATAACCCGAAAGCCTTGAATGGTCTTATGACGGCGATTGACGAAATAATCGTCAAAATCTGTCCTTTGATATTTAGAGCGACACAAAGTAACATACATACTTGCTGATAAACACATTACCCTCATTTGCTAGCGCAGTTGGGTAAAAAAAATGTTACTTTGTTGAATGTTGTAGCTCAGACGTGTTTCACTGGCACCTCATTTTCCAACAGTCTTTTCGCAGGATAGCACATACATTTGAACGGGAAACTTCTTGAAAAACTGCACTTTCAACGCAGATCTGAGTCAGTGCATACGAAATAATTTAAAAAAAAAAGGATAAATCTAATTGAAATTATTTATTTTTAATAGAGTGTGATAACCCATTTGTGTTTCTTAACATTTTTTCAGTGTTTGTTCAATACTAAATAATAATATAAGACTATAATATAAATAAATATTGTGTTGTTACATTATATTTCAAGAATCACATATGATCGATAAAAGCAGCCCATCCATCCCAATTAACAACGTAATAATGTTTATAAACCGCTACGTCAAACAAAATGCGCAAACAAGACATAAAAGCCAGTAAAATTAACTGTTTTTGAGTACTCGTAATATCTGTTAAAAATAAAGTTGAAACATTTACGAACATCTCGTGTGGACGGGCTGAGGCAACTTGAATAAAAAATAAGCTAGGCACTGCTATGTTTAGCTGACGCTTGTCATCGCTGTTGACATTTTAAATCTGACATGACTTATTTATACCACCATCCATTAGAGGTCGGGACGTTTTTCGTGTTATACTTTCTCCTGCGTTTAAGTACTTTAACATTTAGTTTGTATCGCTTTATAAACAATAGTAATGAATTAATGTTAACATACAATTAACCTTAACAAAGTAATTTCATCGTCTGAGTAATTAGTGAAATGATTTTACCAGGTGCTTTTATTATGGTATATTTTTTTAAATAATTTAAAAACATTTATAACTTTAAAATTGGACGTACAGCATCGTACACGTGTTAGAAATATCTTAAAAAATAAGGAATATCAGATATTTAGTGTAAGAGACAGAAAGTGAATTATCATTCTTCTCCCTCATGTAACGAAATGTCCCTTCACCCTGCATTGTCATCCAATCGTCGAATCGCTGCTTAAAAAATTCAACTTGAGAGCTAAAAACGGTCTTTGCAAACTTAACATTCTTCAACACCAGGTTAAGTCTGCTGAATCCGCACCGCGTATCGTTTGACTGAAAATTTATTTATACACATGACGCAGGCCGCAAAGCCCCTGACTCATTAAGCTTCTATCGGGGAAGTAGTCATTAAAAAGTGTGCAATGAGCAATTTCCGTTGGGCTTGCTCCCAATGGTATGGAAGAAAGTAGAGCGGCGTCAGTGTCGAATATAAAGATGCCAAATATTTTACGCTATTACCTACAGCAGTACCAAATACCTTACATAAAGATAGCATGTCCTTATGTGTCAAGATTAATATCAATATTATATATAAAATTTAGAAGTTCATAGACATAGTGATGCATTCGTATCAAAGTATTTATTATAGAAACAAAAGGAGGAGAATATTGATTTAGCCAGGATTTCAACTATTATTATAATTTGTACTAACTGTTATTAATATACATGAAAAATGGGTGAATTTAGTATAATTTGGCCGTTTTCTAATCTTAGAACTAATACTAATTCCTTTTTTTCCGGGTTTCTGATATAATATTAAAATGAATCAACAGCATTATAAATTAGCTGATTAATATAAAAGAATTCCAACGAACAATTCAGAAAGAAATATATATAATTTTAAATGTGTACTGTGCTGTAAAGGCGTTTTAACTTAAATACATTGTATATCAATACTAATCCAGATTAATAGAAACGATCTTCTTTAGCGAAATTGAAACCAATAGCGTAGCTATTTATAATAAAAATTAAAACCTATCCTTCCGCCAATTGGAAATTAAAATTTTAGCCAGTTTAGTTTTGCGTGTTTTTATCGTAACACCATTACAAGATTACATACAGGTACACTGCCTAAGTAAGGTAGAGGTTCGAATACTCGAAAATATCTATATATTTTGCTCTATGGGCTCTACAAGTTTTAAAAGAAAGAAAGAAAGATTTCCGAGCTTATATTTTTGGTTGCACCTTTGGCCAGAACTTTTTTTCTGCAGTAAAAAATTATACGCAAGAGTATAATAATCCACGTCTACTTTATTTTTTAAACCGATCACTTTCATCGTATTTTGACAACAAATTCAATTGACAAAGGCGTCTCAATGACGATGTTGTACAAAAATTATACGGCGTCATAAAAGCCAGTAACTTATGAGAACGGCTACCGCGTGAACTTTCTTTTACATATATAAATAAGGCGCGAAATGAAAATTCCACGCTGCAGCGGTTTTTATGCGGGGCACTTAAAAAGTTACGATGTTACACGGTGCAGGCAGAGGGCGAAGGGAAATGGCGGACTCAGATTCGCAAAGCGGAAATTTTAATTTATATCCCTAAAAGAATTGGGGAATGTAAATTGAAATTCGTGCGTTATTGCAGTGATATTGGTACTTTCGCTCGTGATCCGTTTAAGCTGTACTGTAATCATTAATTGGGATATTTTTTTAGGTTTAATAGTAACTTTACTATAAATGAATTCTCATCAACAAGCCCAGAACGTTCTAAACATGATACCATTTATAAGTAATCGAGTAATTAATTTAGGCCATGTTATTTAAATTATGCGACCCGTAGGAAAATACGAATAGGCAGTATAGATAGATATAGAGTATAGATAGAGGCAGTACAGAGTTTTTATGACATGTTTTGTGTAAAATGATTCCATGAATTTTTGGACGTTACAATAGTTGTATAATATTAGTAACAAATTAATGTTCGTCCTCTATAAATTACTACCTGTCACGACGACATTTTGTACTTTACGTAATTAGTTTCAACCCCTACGCTCCTAAAATGCAATAAGTTGGAATTTTACAGAGGGCAGCTGAGTCACACTTTTTAGGGCTCCTTAATGAGTACGGTCATGACCGTCAATATTCACGAGTTATACATGAAAGGATTTTAATTATTTACATATGAATAATGCTTTATAATGTTAAGCACTAACGAACATTGTCCATTAGCGTATATTTTCTAATTTATAAAACACTAGCGACTTTGCCCTGATTTCGCAGGGGTGCAATTTATTATACATATTAAACTTCCTCTTGAATCACTCTATCTAGTACAAAAAACCGCATCAAGATCCGTTGCGTAGTTTTAAAGATCTAAACATACATAGGGACAGACAGACAGCGGGACGACTTTCTTTTATACTCTGTAGTGATATATATGTATTAAGTGCTGGTTTACTCCATTTTAGGTAAAATCGAATTTTTGCAAACATTATTAGTGAGTTTAGCAGTAGAAGGTAATGATTTCATATTAGGTAGTTTCCAATTAATATCAGTCATATTAAGTCAATATTATCTAAAACATCATGAAATCCGGTGAATTCCAACATCCACTTCGTATTACAAAAGAACTTCAATATCGTAGGAGTACAAGGAGGAAATCATTATACGTCGTATTACTTACAATATTATCATACAATTTAATCATAGTATTGCACATTTGGTCGATGGATGCAGATAGCTCGGTACTGAGTGTTGCGGCTAACGTATTTGTAACAGACTATAATGACGATGACAACATTATAGTATACAATGTTTTAAAACTTGTGTTTTTTTTTTTTTTTTTTTAATTATTATATTTCTTTCTCTTTGATGCTGGTCTCTGCTAAGACGTAACTTAAAAACTAGAGATAAAACCTGTGAAAAGCAATAGGCCTCTAAAATATTATAACATAAAAAACAATAAACAATAAATATTAACTAGATTTTTGACGATATCCGTACTTACATTAAAAACAAAGAAATATTTTCTGGTTAACGTAATTTAAGCCCTAATGTAACTAGTATCATGTATAGAGTCGTTAGTTTAAAAGGCTGCCCATGATTTCAATTTCACCCTGTATAAATGTACATACATCCGTATATGTGTAGGTACTCAAATTTTCCGGAACATACGCGCAAACCATAAAATCGGCACACGACCTCAAAGTTCACAAACCGCACCGAAACCGTACGGCACCGCGATCGTTTTCCGTCCCGTTCGCTATAAAGGTACTGTCGCCAAATTACGATTATTTCGCTTAATGGCCGCGGAATGATTTTAATGGAGCCAACCAGTAAGTACGCGGACGCCGCGATTTGGCGTTCAACGTCCGTTTGATGGGCCTTTCGGCGTGTTTCTTTTGACGACGGTATATATTTTATTTTCCAAACACCCAACGTCTTTCCAGAATATTGTCATTGTATAGTTTAAGCTCAGTTTATCTATACATCTATACACATAAAAAAAATTGGAGTGTCTGTTTGTAATATTAAAATAACCGCTATTTACTTTTAGTAACTATCCATATGCATTTGCATATGGATGTA